TTTCAATATAATTCTATGAAGCATAATAACCAAATAGTAGAACTCCACAGACCATACAGAACAACTTGACAAACAAGTCTTCCAAGCCAATAACGATAGTTACAGCTATTTTAATCCCTGGGAGAAGTATTACTCATTTTACTATTAAATTAAAAGGTCCTTGAAAACACAAAGTTCAACTGTCTTATAATGTCAGGAAATTCAAATACAGAAAAAAGCCTAACCTTTAGAGAGAGCTTATATTTCATTCATTCTTTCCAACAAGTTGTTTACATAATGGCTATAGGTTGGCTGAAAGACTCACAAAAAAACTAGTCACCTCAGATTTCCCAAGGAACTAACAATAATGTTCCTAGCAAGAGGATATCCTGATCAAGTATAATGTCAAGGCTGGGAGCATTATCTTCACAATTTTAAGTAAAATTCTTACTGACCTTGTCTAATTTCTTTCATCATTTATTTTTTATATTCATCAATAGTGTAAACATTCATTTTTTTCCACTTTTAAAACAAATTTTATTGATGTGTTTTGTTTTTACATCACATTTATTTCCATATATATACTTTTCTCCACCCATTGAGGCTTCCATGGTTACAAATATAAAACAAAACAAAACAAAACAAAACATAAAACCCAAAACCGTTCAATATGTCGGATAGATAGGCTGACCACGTCTGAGAGCTTGCGCTACATTCCATACTCCCGAGTTCTTAGGCTCTTCAAAAATTTTTATCTTTTTTCTATGGGCAAGATTAGTCAAAATGATAAAGCATTAACTTAATTTAAAAATATTCCTATCTAGTCCTATTTGGGATTTGGTTTAAAAATTTTAATTAACAGTTTTCTAAAATGCCTACTACTTCCAGAATATACGTCTTTGAAAACTTGTGGCTATTCCATTTGCATTTCAGTGACACAGAGTTACATTAACATTCTATTTTTCCAATGAACAAAAGAAGAAATTAAACACAGTGACTGGTATGTAGTAGATGCTCAATGCATTTCTATTATATTAATGAAATTATAAATGAATAGCCAAGCCAGGCACTGTAATTTCAAGAGGTTAAAAGAATCCTCCCCCAAAATCATTAAGACAAGAAACTTCACTTAATTCCTATTATGGGTACCTTTTTATCTAGAAAATATAGATTCTAATAAATTATCAGTTACAGAATCCCACGACTTCATGACTAAATATCAGTGAGCCAATGAAAGCTCAATATCGAGAATTCTTAACAAAGGCCATATTGACATTTCAACAGGAAATGAATCTATTTTACGCTGGCCAGGTTGGTACCCAGGGTTAGTGTTTTCGTTGATGCCAAGTGCTATTTGTCTGAGGTAATACCAAATTGTTCAAAGGTGTTTTTCTGTATTTGAACTTCCCAATATATCATAAAGGAATTTATATTTTCTTTCTTTCTTTTTTTTCTTTCAGCCGAAGACAAAGTTTATTAGAACATAGTCATATTGGGCAGACTCTTAAGGAGTCGGAACATTAGTGAGCAGCACCTAGATTTTAAGAATCTAAGCCAGGAATTTATATTTTCAAGGAAAGTTGTGGTATATCTTCTAAATTACAGATTTCTAAGAAAAGAGAAGATAGCTATAGAATCCATCTGGGAGAGAACTGAATAAATTAACCTCTTGAAGTGAGGTCTTCTTTGAGGTCAATAATTATCTGAAAAATCTGTCTTCTAGGCTTTTAAAATATAGATCTAAATTTAATTTCTAGTGACATTAAATAATATTGTTTCTAAGCAGAGGTTCTGACCACAGTAATATGGAAATCATTAGCAAAATTATCTTAAAGATGAGTCTTTTGAGTTATAAAATTTTCCATGGAAAGAAAGTTTCATATTTGTTCAAGTATGTAACTGATAGACAGGCAACGACGTAATAGCTTGGCGCAATTAGCTTAGCGATCCAGAAAGGCCTGGATTCAAGGCCTGCCTCTGACACTTAGTGGGGAGTGTAAGTAACCTGAGGCAATTCACTCAACCCCTCATTGCTCTAGGAAGCTCTCTAAGACTACAAACTGGGCCAAAATGTTGACCTACAATTGGCTGAGGAAGTTTCTTACACCATGAAATCACAGGTCTAGTGTCTACCCTTACATGATTGATACCAAACACCCAACACCACACAACCAGTAGCTTCGGCCAAAGAGAATGAACATAGTGAGTAACAAATCCTAACAACAGGCAATGGCTGGATTTGGCTAAAGAACTTCAATGAGCTTCTTCCAATTTAGTCATGGTGCTCTCTTGCCTAAAAAGCTGCAATGGTCACTCCACTCACAGCTCCCCACCCCTTTACTCATAGGATAAAGTCCAAAGGCCTAGCCAGATACATAGTTGTCTTAAGTTCACTAATATCTGTTGAATGAATATTCATTAAGTCAGTAATTTGGAAGATCAGTAGCAAAAGTACAGATGCCACCTAACTTACACATTTGCAGAGATAGGAAAGGCAAGTATCTGGCCATTTGGAATTGGTAACGTTTAGGTACATTAGAATACTTTGTCCTAAATACTCTGATTCAAAAATGCCTATACATTTTTCTCATATTTTCTGCACTGCAAGTTAACTAAGATAAAAAACCTTATTTATGAACTTCCCTTTGAAAGCCAACTAGAGCAATCCAAAAGACGGTTAATTCAATTCACTGGCCATTTAACTACTGCCTGCTTACATTCAGGGCGGTGTGTACACAGCAGACCTGCTTAGAGGTTAGATGATCACTTATCAGGGGATTCCTGCACAGGGAAGGAAAGGAGAGCAGCCAGATGACAGGATCAAAGCATCGCAAACACTAAATACTAACTGATGATCACAGACTTTGAGCCGGAGGGTCCATCTAGGCCAACCTCTCATTCTACAAATGAGGAAACCGAGGCCTGGAAAGGTGAAGTGACTTGCCCAAATCAGGATTTGAATCTAGCACTTTTCCAAACTGACCTCTTAGACTCCATCCTCCTCCATGACTTTATGAACCCCTTTTGACCTGCCCGTCCTCAGCAGACTTCTCAGCTCTTTCATTAAATGAAAGGACTGGACTCCAAGCTCTCTTAGATCCCTCCCAATTTTATAGGTACAATCATCAGTTAGTATTGGTGTTTCTGACATCACGTACGGTGCTTAAAATTTTCAAGTGTTTTATAGATGCTTTTTTATGTGGCTTCCCCTTCCAACTGGCCCTAGACCTTTGTCCTGTGACTCAACAGTTGTGTAAGGTCCTCTTTTCCCCTGCTGTAAAATTCCTACTGGCACCAGTGTAAAAATATATACAAAGACAAGATCAGATAAGGGTGGTCTCAGAGCATTAGTATAAATCTGAGCATCCATAGGTCAGCAGGAAATGAATTGACCCTGCCCCCACCAGGGCTGAAGCCAGCCACTCACAGTGAACAAATAAATCTCTTTAGTATTCACTTCTATATACTTTGTGAGAAGTGTTCTGGCCACTGGGCTAAGGGGTCCCAGGAACCAGATTTCTATCCAATCCTAAATAGCACTCCGAATATCCTTCCCAATCAGGAGCTTTGTTTACTTAATTTATTATTTAAAATTTTCTTATATAATATAAGAGCCCAATCCAACTTTTTCGGCTAACTCTGATCATATAATGGAGTTTTGTTTTTTCAATTGATTTGTACTGAATATTTCTTTTGTAATACAGATCCGAAATTCAACTTTCTCAGCTAGCTGGGAGGAGAAGGAGGGAAAAGAAAGAGGTAACTGGAACCTTTAAATAAATAACTCCTTTGTGAATGCAATTAACAAACCTATTAATTTTATTTAAGGAAAAGGCTATAAACCCCCAGTGGGCATAGAGTTGCCCAAGAGCCTTTTTATGTATGTTCTCTATGCACATACAGGGCACTTGCCTGATATTAAGGTAACAACAACGTTCCACATAAAAGGCCTGCAGCTTCACCTGAGAAATGGGAAGTAATGAGAGTGTAATTACAAGCCAAAGATGTAACCAGGGCTCTCCTTGGTTATACCAAAGAATCCAAGCCAAGGGATACACGATACCACCTGGGATGTTTCCCTAAGTACCCTGAAACACTCCAATGTTGGCCATGTTATTTTGCCTTTCAGCTCAGGTCAAATAGCAGTAAGAGATTTTTTTTTTTTTTAAAAAAAAACAAGGTAAATTCAGTATTTTCAATTCAAATCAATGTTGAAGCAATATTTCACTCTTAAGAAAATATCAACATCTATCAATAATACAGTGTTCTCGTATTTACACAGAGGATACTCAAATACTTTCTAGATATATACTTCTAGTCCCCTTCTGTGAAAGGTAAAAAAGTACCTGAGGAAACTGAGACCCAGACAAGGATTTAAATGATAATAGAGGGGAAAATGTCCTATTGGGAGGAAGAATCTCACACCCAAAGCTTGACCTCTCAAAGCATTATATGACTAATAATAAATGTTCTGTCACGATAAGGGAAAACACAGCAGGAAGAGGAAAGTTAAAATTGTTTTAAAAAACCAAACAAAATCCAAATCCTCACCAAATGAGACTATTTAAACTTAAGTGAAGAAAAGAATCCATAACATTCAAAAAGTTATAGGGCTCTACCTATTCTTAACCCCTTCCTTGTTTCAATGCAAGAACAGTTTCCTTCAGAACTCAAGAAGAAGCCATCGATACAATAGACTCTCTCCAGAGCAGATAATTAATTCTGGTTTGTTAATGGTGAATTGTTTCATCAACAGTTGTGTCCAGCGCAAGTGGATGTACATTAAGCCTTCCTCACCCACAAAATCTAAGACTTTGGAGGAGTTTCTCAGTTAGTTATACCTCTGGATATCATCTTATAGGCCTCAGTTATCAGAGGCTCCTGGAGCTCCCATATTGTGGAGCACAAAAGTCATGCTTGGCAAAAAAAAATCCCAAGAGTTTTACTTCTCTTAAACGTCTCAATATTAATATGACTAATATGTATCATGCACACGGAGATCAATACCTGAACTCCATTACCTCCTTATCCTTCAGGCCCAGGAGCAACACCTCTTCCATAAGGTTGAGGCGAATATCCTTCGAGTCCCCGGAGTCATCATTATCCAGACCTCTTTCTTGGTTGGAGTCTTCCTCACCTTCCAACTTCTTTTCAGAGTTCTTGCCAACCTCAGCTCGCCGCCGGCCTCGGTGAGTCAAAGATGACATTCTCACCTGTCCCAGGGGAGGTTGGACAAAAACTTATACATATATGTGTGTGTGTATGTGTGTGGTTGTATACATATGTATGTGTGTACAGAGATGATGGGGTATAGGCCCCAAGCTGAGACCCCAAAGAAAGTTTGGGTTCCATTCGTCTAAGGGGATTCTCCTTGAATTCTCCCACTTGATCAAGGAGGTATCTGGAATTCCCCTGAGGCTGTGATCCTATCAACTGGCTTTTCATTATAGCCAAGCCCAATCTCCCAATTCTCGGTTACCCTTGACCTAGCCCATTGCTTCATTGTCTTACCTCCCTATGGCCTCTGGCTACCTCCTACCCTAGCCCTTATCTAGACCCCATTCTCAATCTCCCAGTCACTGCCATCAAGATCCTTCCTAGATCCCTCCCACAGTCTTTCTGTATATATGGTCCATCATGCCTCTGTTAAGGTGCTCAGATTCTTATAATCTAGCCAATAGCTCATTAACATTCAGACTCCTTAAGAGTCTGGCCAATATGGTGGGTGTTCTAATAAACCTTGTCTTTGGCTGAAAGAAAGGTTGGGTCAAATTCTTTCATGCAGGACCTGTGTGTTGTGATTTTGGGGTCCCTGCACCCCTAAACCCCTAAAACTCAATAGACACCCACAAATGCATACAGATGTATATATATGCTCAAATATCTCTCAATATATATCTCTATATATGTCTTATATAAGACAAGAAATATGTAGAAATTTAAGTTGACAATAGAATGAAAGGGGAAGTTTTTAACAATGAAATTGGAAAATCCTATTTGCTTTTAAAAAGGCAATGACCAGACTACACATGTATAACCTTTATCAAACTGCTTGCTTTACCGATGATGAGGGAGGGGAGGAAGGAAGAATTTGGAAGGCAAAACTGCAAAAAAACAATGGTTAAAAATTGTTTTTACATGTAATTGGAAAAACATTCAAATTCATTTAAAAAAATAAAATAAATATGCCTTTGTTAAAAAGGGGGGGAGGCGCAACGACCCAGTTTCTTCATATAACAAGTCAGATCAAACCATGAAGCCCACTGCTCAACCAGATAATATCCTTATGATTAATACACCATCCTTCCTGTCTAAAGCTTAAGTGTGAACCTTCTATGACCTAATGCAAAATATCCTTCACACTGCATCTACAAATTAAAAAGGATAGGCAGCTTGACTTATTAACATAGTTCATTCATTCATCTAATAGACACTTTTAGGCACCTGGCTGCTAGGTACTGTGAAAGATCCAAAAATAAGTAAGAAACACTTGTCTTCAAGAAGCTGACATTCTAGTAGGGGAAATAAGACACAGACTCAAATAGCTACAACAGAAAAATTTAATATAAAAGCATGTGAAAGAGGTAAAAACCAAAACGGTTCTATGACATTTATTTGAAGGAAAACTTCACTTTAGAGCAGACAGAGTAATGGAAAAGGCTTCACGAAGGAGGTGACTGAGCCTTAAAAGATGGACAGGATTTCAACAGGCAGAGATGAAGAGACGGGCATTTAAGCAGAAGGAGAACAGCATGAGCAAAAGTGGGAAAGCATGGGATGTACTCCAGGCCTGGGCAAGCAGCACAGTCTGGCTGATGTTTAGAATTCAGGATGGGGGAACAATGTGAGATAAAGTTGAAAAGGTGGGCTAGAACCAGATTGCATATAACGTTTCTCGAAAGCCAGACTACAAGGTTTGAACTTTGATAGACAGTGGTTTCTGTGTGAAGTAAAGGGATCAGAGCTGTGAAGTAGGAAAGTTAATCTAGCAGTGGTGTGCAGGATGAACTGGAGAAGGGAAAAAAAGAATGAAGAAAGAGAGACAGAAAAGGTTACTACAACAGCCTGGGCTACAGGTGAAGAGGTCTGGCCTAGGATGACAGCAGTGGGAATGATCAGGAGGCAGCAGATTTAGAATTTTTGATGGTGGAATCCATAGGACTTGGTGTTTTATTAGATATGGAAGATAAAGGAGAGAAAGAGTTAAAGATGAGTTCAAGGCTGCAAGCAAGGGTAATCATGAGAATTGTAGCACATCCATAGTGGTAATGATGTGAGGTCATAGTTGTAATTCTATCTTCACGGAGGCTAGTCAACTTTGTTTTATTGCATGGCTAGTGAAGACTTAACGTTGGTCGGTCAGGCAACAAGTATTTATTAAGCACTTACTACGTGCTATGCGCTGTACTAAGTAGTGGTTAAACTAACCTCAGCTAGCTATCCAGTTGGCAAATGCATACAGTTGGTCACAAGAGAAAATGGCATGGGAATGTGGACAGAGATTTACATCTGTTGAGGGCACCACCATCATCTGAGTTACTCAGCTTTGTAACTTCAAAGTCATCCTTGACTCTTCTCATTCACTTCTAATATCCATCAACTGGATTCTATCTCCATAATATTACTCAATGCCTTCTCTCTATTCACAGCCACCAACCTGACTCAGGACCTCCAGCCTCTCACCTGTTCTATTTTACTATCCTGCTAATAGATCTTCCATCTTCAATCCTAACTGCACTATTAGTATTCCCTTGTGTTTATCCACCAGCCGTTTGCATTTGCCTATGCCATCCCCTATTCCGGGAATGTGCTCCGTCCTCCAGGACACCTTCAAAGACACGCTCCCACGCCACCTCCTTCCCTAAGACTTCCTCTGACTTCCTCACCTGCTAATGCTCACCCATGCCTCAAATTACTCTGTATTGTATTTGTGCATGTGCTATAGCTCTCCAATAAAATATAAGGATCTAAACACAGGAATTGCTTCATTTCTGTCTAGTACTGCCCATGCCTTGTGCATAGTAGGAGTTTGGTTAATGTTTGTTGTTCCATCACAACAAATCCATTTCTGATACTGTAAAAACTCATACCACAGGATCTCCCCACGGTTCATGTGTGGCATTTTCTTCAAATCTGAAGGAAAAGTGCTGCCATCAGACTATATTAGAAAAATAAAGGTGTAAGGAGAAGGGTAATGATAGGCAGGCCATTCACATACAGGTATGTCACCGTGACTACCCAATAAGTGAGAATAAGAGTGCAAGTGAGCCGTGAACCGAAATATTTCTTTAGTTGAAGGTCGAAGGAAACTTCCCTACGTAACAGGCCTTAGAGCTAAAAGAGGGCTTTTCTAGGGATCACGAGGCCAGCTCCAAGAGAGGTAAAGTGACTTGGGTAAGGTTACACAGTTACCAACAACAGCAGGTGTGGCATTTACCTACTGCTCGATTCTTTCATTTGAGCCTCACAACAATCCTTCGAGGTAGGGACTAAGAGGAAATTGCAGCTGACCTCAGTGATGTGCCCACGTGTCAGAAGTTGGATCTGGGGGGAGGGGGGCCTCCGATTCCCAGGTTCAGCACCTCATCCAGGACCCTGTCCTTTCTTGGAGGGCACTGTACGCTAAAATAGCCACGCTGTGCTTCGGAGGAACCTCAATACCGACTGCACACAAGGAAAATGGAAAAGCAACACTTAAAGGGGAAGAAGATGTAAGGTCGAATCCCTCACAATGCGGTTTCTTATGCAAAATATGTCCCAGGTAGGCACACACGTGAGGTCATTCCAGCAGGCTGGAGGGAAGCCTACCTGCAAGAGGAAGAGGAGGAAGAGGAGGGAGGAGGAAGACCAGGGTAAATGCTCGCATCGGGCACTGCAGGAAGCCGGAGCCTACGTCCTGGCCACCCCACGGCCGAGAAACTTCAAGCCCCGTGTGACCGTGACCAAGGAGCAGAACTTCCCAGGCGGACCTGTGCGGGGGCCTAGGGAGGGGCCACGTACGTGGGTGTGTGTGCTGGTTAGCCGACGGCCCACCACCAAGTCACCGCAGCCCGCTCCCGCTCCCGCTCTCGCTCCCGCCAGCAAACAGGCGGCCCGGCGGCCGGCCGCGGGCAGAGGCCTCGAGCGGACTCACCTGGCGTCGCGGCGGCTCCTCGGAGTGCGGGGCCCGGACGGCGTCAGGCTCCCCTTGGCTCACGACACCTGTTCACCCTCCGCTCCTTCGGGGTGAGAAACTTCTCCGGCGCCGACGAAGCACCAACTTTACTTCCTGATCCTCGGCTGCAAACAAGGACTAACACATCAGCTTCCTCGGCGATCGCTAGGCAACCTAGCTTGGTGTTTCTGTCTTCGGCCAATCAGGGGCCGCCAGGGCGGAGGTCCAGCCAATGGGCGGCAGCGAGGGGAGGGCCTCCCCCCACGCTATTGTGTTGCCGTCCAGACAAACCCCACAAAAAGGAGGTAGGTCGAGGCCCCGGCTGACAGCCGGTCAGCCCAATGGCGGACCCCTAACCTGGAGGGCACGGAAGGCAGCCCACCCTCGGGGCCGGCTCGGGGCCGCCAAGGGAGAGGCGTGACCCACAGCCCCTGGAGCAGGTGTGCGGGCGGAGCATCCTGCCAGCACTGGGCCGGGCTGGGCCGGGGAGGAGGAGGAGAGGGATGGGGGAGGGGAGAGGGGGGAGGGGGGAGAGGGGAGAGGTCAAACCAGCCGCTTTGGGGTGGGCCCAGAAGGCGTGACGTCATCGGCCGGGCCAGCGGGCCAGGAAAGCCTGAGCCTGGTCGGTGCAGGAATTCACGGGCTGATGCTTTCAGAACCTGGCCAGCCAACCTCTGCTTTCCAAAGAAATGGAAACCCAAACCCTGTTGGGTGGGCCTAGACCCCATACTGGCGGATTCCGAGGGCTCCCCGCTAGAGATCACCAAGCCTAATGGAAAACATATGATGGCCCTAAAGTCTGGCATCCTGGGTTCGAATCCCACCCCATACAATTAGGCCATCTATGGGGTCCTCCAGGCGAGCTATTGTTTAACCTCTCAGAGAGTTCCAGGCCCCTTATCTGCAAAAGGGAGATGATAACCCTTGCTCGGCCCCTCTCAACCCGCTGTGGTGAGGAAATTCTCACCTTGGAGCGGTGAATGAGAATTACTGTAATTCTTTCCCACCCACCAGTTAAAAGCATACATACCTCCTAGCAAAACACTATATATTGAGAGCCTGCCAGTTTTCTTCTATTTAAATAAAAATTAGAAGCCTCGAAAGTCATACCACGCTAAACAGTAAAGGCTTTATTTATGTTACCGAAAATGCCATACAGTGCTCCAAATCGCTAATAATAAGAGAAATACAAATCAAAACAACCCTGAGGTTTCAACCTCACACCCTGCAAATCAGCAAAAATGACAAAAAATGGCAACATAGACAGGGCTGTAGAAAGATAGGCACACTAATAATTTGTTGGTGGAGTTGTGAAATGGTACAACCGTTTTGGAAAACAATTAGAATGAGTCAAATAATGTGATTGAAATGTCCATAGCCTTTGAACCAGAGACTCAACTCCATGACTGGGCTTATACCCCAAGGAAGTCATGGATAAGAAGAAGGTCCCCATAGCCTCCAAAATATTTATAGTAGCACTTTTTGTGATAGCTGAAAGATGGAAGCAAAGTATATGCCCATCAACTGGGGAATGGCCAGACAAACTGTGGTACATTGAAATAATGAAATATTATTACTGCCCTGTAAGAAATGATGGATGTGATGAATGCAGAGAAGCATGGAAAGATCTAGATGAACTGATGCAGAGTGAAGTCAGCAGAGCCAAGGAAACAATATACACAGTGACTACAACAATATAAATGGAAAGAACAACACACCAAAAAATCAAACATGAATGTAACAAAACTACAAAGATCAAACAAAGCTCAAATGAAGAGCTATGGGAAAACACCTCCCACCTACCCCTTTGTAGTAGTGAGAGATCCACAGGTCTTATGTGTTTTCAGACTTTTTCAATGTATCGATCAATTGTGCTGACTTTTCTTTTCTTCTCTAAAAAAATACCGTTTGTCATAAGGGATGGCTCTCCAGGAGGGAGAGGAAAGGGATACATAGGGATACAATGCTAATGTAAGAAAGAGAAAATATCAATAAAAACTTACTAAAATAATGTCATACAATAAAATCTGTTGCTGTATGAAATTTGTAAAAACATTTTAAAAGTACCAATATTAGCAATAAATTATAGATCATCATTTTAATACACTATAAAAAAGCACTGAAGAATATTGTTTTAATAATAAAACACAAATGACAGTCACAATTTATATGGTAAAGTTCAAACATACATATAATTGTGAGTCCCCAAAATGTTAATACCTCAATATATATTATTTCAAAGTAGTAGTATTAAAGCAAATTAAAAATTAATGGAAATATTTATAAATGAATAGTCTACCAAATATAGATAATTCAGTGCTAATTGGAAAATGAGTTAACCAGTCATCTGACAATTTTATCTGCCTTTGTCCCACAAACTTCCTCAGAATAGATCAAAATTTGGTTCTTAATTCATAATATTTTAAACTATAGTTAATTCTGAAATGTGTGAGACCTGTTTTAGGTTTACATACATAAAGTTTCAAGTTCATTGGGGGTTGGGTATAGAGGCAGAGGAGACACACCTTAAAATGTAATATTATTACACCGTAATATTATTATTCAATTTAGATAGCATAAATTGAGAAGATCTTTACAAACAAGCAGAAGGGAAAATAATCTCTATATGTAATCCTTTGGTTCATTAAACTTTCTCCTCTTTGGCACTGAATCTTGACTACCGGAAGATTCAAACAGTTGGAGAACCTGTCAAGAGAAAAAACAGCTAAGGAAGGATACATTCTACTGTGCCAATTTGATTGTGAATTTAGGTCTCTTTCTGTTCATTTGCTATTTGAGGTCAGATAGCAGAGTTTTTGATTCTCAATGATATAAGAATTCACATCTTCTTTAAAAAGATGTGACTATTAATATGTGTCCGTTTGCTGATGGCTGCTAAAACAATACACATTTAAAATATGTACTAGGCAATGTCAGATTAAAAAGCATCATGCTCCCCAAATAAGCAATTTTAATCTCTTGTCGATTTCATATTACTGCCCTTCATGAACTCTATATACTAAGCAACATTGTACTACAAATCTTTTCCCAATGCTTAGCATGACATCCCCAGTTTCTAGAAAATACTCCCTCTTTATTTCTACTGTTCAGAGTCCTTTTCCATAAACACTTAGCATAGGCTGCTACCTCCTTTGTGAAGTCTAGCATTTAAAAGTGTTCTCCAATCCTCAAATTTTTCTAAAGTATTTTGTTTGGATGTATCCTTTGCCAGCATCACAGATCTTGTGTTTTATGTATGTATCTATATATGGTCCATATATGTGTAGTAATACATATACAGACACATACCTGCACATGGGTATGTATATATGTATCTATGTATTTATGTGTGTATATGTTGTGTTCCCTCTATTAGAAAGTAAGCTATTTGAGGTTAAGGACTGGATCATTTTTTATCTTTGTATCCCATGTGCTTAGCACATTACCATTAACATAGTAAATATCTAATGAATGTTTAACTCAACTGAACTGCAACGACAGAGAAATACTTTATGAAAGGCAAATGCAAAAATGTCTTTCCTTTGGAATTACATAAGATTAAGATTAGGGCATTATTAACATGATTTCCTGAGCTTACATTAATTTTCACAAAGATTTATATTGGGAAAAAAGCTATCAGTATAGACTATACTTCAGGAATCACTTTATAGAAAATTGTTAAAACTCTGAATTTCATTGGGAGGAAATGGGAAGCCCATATTTTAATTTTACTACAGGAAAATGTGCTTAGAACTTTAATTAGTTCTTTAGAAAAGGTATTACATCAATCTAAGTTAATATCATATATTTAAAACAATTAGCATAAATTTAAAGTGAAAGTAGTTGTGAGCTGTTTATTTTCTTAAATACTTCAAATGAGAGGGTTTTATTCTTTTTAAAACATTTGTTGTTTTTTAACTTTAATGTAGTATTACACCTTTCCTAAAGTGCTACTCAGAAGCTTCATTGTGTCATGAAGGTGACCCTAGAAATTCTGGAAGACTATGTCAACAGAGCACAGCTGTGGCAGGGCCTATTGGGCTGGAAAGGCATTGAGCATTGGGCCAGCAGCAGACTATATGCCTGTTATCTTAGGACCAGGCATCAAAGTTTGGAGAAACCAAAAAGGTTAGCTAAACACGGATGAAATTTTTGGCCACAGCAACTCACTAAGACCATGATGGTTGCTCAGTGGAGTGAATACTCTCACTGACAAAATCATGGCTCCTTGAAGTACACAATAATATCTGATGTAAATCACTGATATAAATGATCTGATGATTTAGGAGAACAAGATTCTAACTTTATTACAAATGGTATGTGGGACAAAGTATCTTACTGAACAATTAACTCACTTTTAAAATCAACATTTATACCAAGAACTGACTATCAATAATATAATAGATGCCCCATAGAAAGCCCATTTTCTATCCTATTCACAATTTTAATGCTAGCTTATGGCGATATTCTGATCGTTCATATTTCATACAACATATACCACAGCAATAAATTTTCTATAAACAACATAAATTTACCTTTCGCCCTGATTCAGGTCGACTCCTCTTCCTAGTTTCTTTACATGGCTTCATTGGCTGATTTCCATAAGCCTGAAGAGAGACAAAATAATTGGTTAGCTTTCAAAGTAGCAAGGCATTACTTGGTCAAACGCAGATTTCCCTATCATTGTCATACCAAATCTCATATCTAAAATGACCATAGAAACTTCAGAATGATGAAAAAAAAGAAAGTAGTTACCTTATTCTTCCCCGCAGGAAAACTTTTTTTTTATAGACACTTGCAATGTTTCTTCAATTTTTATTTCCCTGATAAAAATACTGCTACAGCACAAAACATAAGTATGACAATACAAATATTGCTAATATATAGCAATAATACTGAAAGCTATAGCTGTGAACATTTAATAATTCATTTAACAAACATTTGTTATGCATCTATGTCTAAAGCACTCTGAGAAGCACTGGGATTCAAGGACAAAAATAAAAGCAGTTCTTGCACTCAAGGAGTTTATACTCTACTAGAAAATGTGCAACATCCAACATATACACAGAGAAGGAAATGTGAGATAACTTGAGCAGAAAGCACCAGTCATTAGAAGAAATCCAGA